AGAGAACACATGATGCTGTGCAGGAGTGGGATTGCCCATCCCTGGTCACATGAAATGCAGCCTAACATATTTCAGCTACGTTATAGTGTTAAGACAGTCCTCCAGTGACTTTTCATGGAAAATCGAACTGTCCTTGCTTATTTGAACTGGTTTTACTCTACTATGTGAATAATGTGAACATTCCAATCACATTGTGTTTTACTCCTCAGAGTAAAGCACAATGAGTAAAATATATGATGTACGGTTCATATATGGCACAAATTGCATTGTAAATGTACATTTACATGGGGCTGCCTATTGATGCTAAAGTGTTGTGGAGTGTTGTTACTACAGACAGTCTGTACCAGAGTTGTTCAGGTGGGGAGAAATGTTTAAATCATTTGCTGATTCTGGCTGTCAGGAGGCAAACAGGCCATTGCACGTCCAAAATATCCAAATATCCAAAAAGAATGGCTGAAGTTTTTTCTAACTTCCCTGAAATGGCTGCAATGGCCTTCCCTGAAGAGTTCAGTCCTAACTTGATTTTGATCTGTAGATTTCAGCCTGGATTGCTTTTTGGATGAGGTGCAATACAGGGCAGCCAAACAAAACAGAGTCAGTTACATATATCAGCCTTAATGGCACCGTTACAACATCATGTCACTTGCAGTTTGTAAAATCCCAGCAAGTGATTCATTAGAAGATACAGGCTGATGGTCTTGAGTTATAAAAAAGTGTTAATAGGGGCTATAAGAATTCTTGTTTTCTGTTTTCAAAAAAATCTTCATCCATATAAACTGCATTTTCAAAAATCTCTCCACCCACACAAGACAATAAAAACAGCTCAGAAATGCTCACAAAAGTGTGCCAAGCCAGCAGGGGACAATAATACCTCATTTCTAACACAGTAAAGGTGGCGTCTTGCAACATACAAAAGGCTTTGACTTGCAGGACATCAGACTCCATAATTCAATATTTCACAATTTCAGTATTTCACAAGTTCAATATCCAAATGCTGCCAGGAAGCTCTCATAAACCTACACCATCAGGATCTCTTGAACATGTTGTGTTCATATTCATAGTGACACAGTTACTTGTATATGAAGTAAAAGGCCTGAAACACTAAGACCCAATCCCAGTTCACCCCTTGCCTCTACCGCTTAGCTGTTATCCCTCTGTTTTGCAAGTGCATGTCTAGGGGTTGAGAGCCCCAATTTTTGTTGAGATAGAGGGGTGGGGCGAAGTGTTAGGGCTACATGGCCTTCCAAACGGAGGTTTTTAGAGACACACTCCGAGTGTTATGGGAAAAAAGAAAACTGGCAAGACGGCAGCACAAGCGACAAGAAACCCGACAAACGTGAGTATAGAGAATTTCTAGTAGCAGCAGTTGACCTTAGGCGTCAGAACTGCTGCACCATTTAAGGTGGAACGTTAAAATTTGAACAAGTGGCAGGTGAATAGTTGACTTCAACTTCATGTCAATGAAATTAGCATTATGATGGTCAAATCTTCTGAAGAGGAAAGTTCATGCCGAGAATCTGCATTTCAGTGAATGAGTTAATGGAAAGTATGTCTTAAACATGCCAACTTTTAATGCTCATACAATCTATCTGATCAGCAATAAAACCATTGTTATCAAACATGATTCACTAAGCTGCTTTAGCATAGTTTGCACCACGCCTGCTATTTCTTTTTTTATTATTATGAACTTTGCATTGCCTAGAACATTTCCTTCTCTGCTCTACAGGGAGCTTAGGTCAGCACCTTTTGGGATAATGAAGCTTTTTTAAGGAGACTCTGGCCACTTATGGGTATCTCCAGGTTGAAGTGCCTAGTGCACCAGAGAGCTCATTGAACATCATGATAAAAGGTATAGACTTACCTAAGATGGTGTCTTCCACTCTGGAGAAAATAGGCAGAAAATGAGCCTCCAGATTTCTCCTCCAGCTTTAGGCTCTCTCTCACAGACTCCATCTCCTGTCTCACAGCCAAGACCTCAGCAGCATCCAAAAGACTGCAGTGAAATAGTTAACTGTATGGAAACCTACCATCTTGGCTTTCTTTAGACCAGGGTTGCAAAGTCTGCAAGACAAATATAGCCATTTTATTTACTATCCTAAACAACCAGTGAACCTACATGTGTCTGTGAAGTTTTTATATAATGTTGATCGTGGTGAAATAGTCATAAATCAGAGAAAAAATAACATTTTATTTTTTATTTTTTGCCCTACAGTGCCCTGCCTTTACACTAGCATTAAAAAGTGTGAACATCCCCAGTCAAATTTACATATTTTGATGTTTTGAAGCTTAAATATGGCATTTTTATAATAACCTTTTAGCAGAAAGTGCAGTTTTCTGTATGCTAGTGTATGTCATGAGGCCATTGGTATCATTGATTGCACCCTATTATTATTATTCAGTTCTTAAACCTAATGTCTTTTATGAGATTTAAATGTCTGTCAAAGCTGTAAAAGCTTTGGAGAAAGTGTTTACTTGGCATTTGGACCTGGTCTGTGATCTGACGAGACTTGATGCTGGAACAACATGTATGATGACACATCACGTCATTGATATACACAGTGCTGCCCACATGGTGTTTTTTTGTCCTCTTTCGTCATTTTGTTGTTGCCCTACCACTGAATAGTTCATAGAAAAACAGACTCTGTCAGAATTTGAAATTCAAGGAATTTCTGCTTTTGTACGTTGTTTAAAGGAATACACACCTATAATTACCTGCCACCTTTTACCTATAATCAGCTATAATTTCTCTGTACTTACAGAAAAACAGAAAACTCACTGACCCAAAACACTCAGAAGCCACCTGCCTATTGTACATGCTATTAAAATTATTAAGCTATTATAACTTATTATATTAAGCTATTATAACTGCTATTATAAATGTGCTTGAAGTTGAAAAGAATTGCTTTTCATTTCAGTACCACTTTACAAAAAGACTACCCCAGTGAAGGGAATATGAATGGTTAAAATTAGTTAAAAATGATTAATAAGCAGTTAAAGCACATGTTAAAAGGGCAAAGTGAGCTATTATTTCTGATGACTATGAATATCTGATGAAGCTGACAAGTATAGCGCAGACTGATGGAGAAGACAAAGTAAGATAAGTAACCAATAAGAGCTGAACTTTTAACAGTTAATAGTTAAGCTCACTATTGGCAAGTAAGGTTACTGTTGCTCATTTTCCTGTAGTAACTACTTATTATTAATTTTACTGTGGCCTGATTAATAAACATAATAAACTAATTTAAATTTATTTATAAACCCTTTATATTGCTAGTGTTATAAAGTGACACCTTCATAAAATATGAATTTAAAATTCAAAGATCTTAATGATATAATAGGCACAATAAAATAACAATACAGCCATTCATATTCAGTTTAATAGCCATTTATAATGTTTATAATATTCTTAGAATCACTGTATCAGAATATCAGCAGGCTGTAGAAAATGAAAACAATGGAACATCCCAAGAAATCCTCCAGTTCTCAGACCATGAAAGGGATTTTTGGAGACTACATGGTCTTAATGTTATTCTGAGGAGGAGGGTCAAAGGTTCAGGAGCTAGTCCTGATTCGCTGGCACACACACAGGCCAGAAAAGCATTGGCTGTGGAAGAAAAGGGGGAGTGGCCTTTTCAAGGCCCAAAGTGGGTGGAATGCTTACATAACTTTTTCTCCTGTCATGTGAGTTTCTTGGAACTTTCCCCGGCTTCACACACACACACACACACACACACACACACACACACACACACACACACAGCCCAGAGCTGGTGTAGCAGATGTGCAATACCAACATGTTGGGAAACTGATACTGAATTGCTTAAATACAACAGTTTATTAAAGAAAAATCTATGAACATTGCTTTAAATCGATAAATCCAAGGTTGGAACAGAGGAGTTAGCGACGGCATTCCATACACACTAAAAAAATAAAAAAATTATATTACTCACTGTATAAGAAAGATATTATTAAACATAGCACAATATTCTGCCTGTAATGTGAGCTGTAAATAATAGACGTACATGTACAACGGTAAGCAGGGGCACTAATATGAAACAGCCATTGAGTACTAATTATTCACTTTTTAATGAGATATTTCTGAGTATATTAGAAGATAATTCACTTTCATAATGAATGGAAAGTGAAAGGAAAATAAGTGAAAACCCATACAATTCCAAAACTTTGAGAGAGAAACTGGGGCTCCTAACAACTGTACAAGGACTAATAGACCACCAAAACTGTCCCCCTCAGATAAACAGCACTTATAGCTTTCATCTTTAAGAGAGAGGAGAAAATGAAGCTGCTTCAGATCTGAGAACATCCACAGGTGTTTTTGTCCATCCTTCCACTGTGAGAAGACGACTCAACACTGAGTCTGAAAGGATGTGTAGCTGTCGAAAGCCTTGTACTGAGAAAAGCAAATAGACTAAGCTGCTGCTGGTGTTCGTGAAAAGCAGAAAATGCTTCTTAGACTGAACTTTGGAGATGGTGCATCCCTGCAGAATATTTTGAAAAACTGAACGTTAGTCTCTCAAAAAGAATGGACAGTATTGTGTGGACACACTAAATACTGAAAAATCTCATTACATTTAGTTGTTGAAGCACCTGTGGAATTTCTTGCTGAACATATTATTTTCTGCTGAAAATGAATAACTAATACTCAATGGCTGTTCTGACTAGATATTAAACACATGAAAGCATGGTGTCTGACTCTGAAACACATTCATTCTAATATGTATTTATATTACACCTGGGACCTGACTGACTGCTGAGATGATTTTCAGACCATTGTTGTGTACACATACCCTACACTATGACATGTCCTACTAAGATGATGTACAAAATATATTTTTGGAAATGTTGAGTATGCTACATATGAGAAACAAATCCCTTCACTCACTGCTGGCCTATTCACACCTCACAAGTGTAGATAAAGATGTTAATCCATGACAGACTGTTACAGGTCCCATTTTTACTCTCTCAACACAGTTTCAAACAAATTTAATTTAATAAAAAATTTTATTAAATATATTTACTCCAAAAATTTAATAAGTAGTCAAAGTGCTCAAGATTTTACAAGCTGGTACAGAAAAAACAGATTTTACCAAATCAGTGTTCTTTTTGTCGCAGAAAAACAAAAAAAATGTGTGCTGCATAGCTTAGTGCTAACTTAATAACAAAATATATGGTTTATCAATCTTGCTGTCATCGGCTGAAATATATAAAAACTTTGGTTCAACATAAAAACAATTACCCAGAAGAAACTCAGCTATGCTTAAAAAATAACTCATTCAAAATCAGCGAAACAGCTCAGTGCTGTTCCTTGGTCTTACACAGAAACACATTCTTATACTTCAAAGAAAACTATTCTCTCTATATCCTTAACATTACAATTACCCAAAATATAAAATGTATATTTGCGATAAATACATTCAAGTAAATAAATTAAATCATGTGAATGAATAAATAGCCATATTATCTCCTGTTCATTTCCCTTTGTCATTGAGTTTGTGCACATTGTGAGTATAGCAGCGTTTAGAGTCCGCTGTCCAGGACGAGACTAAACAGAAGCACCAGTCTTCTTCTTCTCCACAGTTAAAGGCTCTGATTGTGAACAGTGATTGTGTCGCACTGTAAGGAAGTCTTTTTTGTAAAAAGTCTTTGAGTAGTGTTCTCAGGTCGCTCTCCTCTTGGTGGTCTCCTGTGGATGGCTATGGGGGCCATAAAGTTTTCCCGCTCGCGTCTCAAAAGCGTTGACCATTTGTTTAACTACCTCGTCGAAGAACAGTGTTGCTAGCTGAGAGTGGAGCAGTGACCTGAACTCAAACGACACCTGGACAGAGAAGGAGAGAGCATGAATGTTCAGTTAGTCATTATGAACGTGGCCTAAAAATCTGTTAAAAGTGTAATACAGTCCAATTATCCACAAGGTAACTAAGCTACCTCTGAAATACTTTACTACGTCTGAAAAACGTCATGTTTTGTTTAACTGGGAGGAAGATAGACCAATCACTATGCTTTAAGAGAAGAGAAGAAGTCCTTAGCTAAGAGCATGAGCATGTGTGAACTTATTCACTCAGAAAATCAATGAAACATGTAATTAGATTAGGGCAGCCAAACTTTTGCATACGACTGCATCAAACCTCAGAGAAATCGATCACTGTGATACATATCAAGTACTATTATGTAATATTTTTTATTTTTTACATTTAACCCCCTATAGTTTAAATGGTAAAAAAATAAAATGGGGAAAATGGTGTTGCATGATATACTACTGATCCTTAATTAAATCTGAAACCTTTGCATGCACACGAGAATGCTTTGCAAAGATCTCTTTAGAGACTCAGTAACATTCTTATGAAAGTGATGTTATAATGCTAACATTTATTAGTTCCTGTATTCCATTAACGTTATTATGACAAATTAGGTCACAGATGCCTTTTTGCAGAATTGTTATGGATATCAACATTACTTAAAGAACACTGACCACCTGCATGTTTCATTGCATAATTAGTCCTGTTTAATTTTAGTGCAGCAATAACTGTGAAACAATGAATAAAAATCTTGAGTATGGATTTTTATAGCATGCTGTACATGTTGCACTACTGGTGCATTTTGCCTGTTTCAATTTATCAAACCTCAAAAAAACTAAATATTTTGTATTGTGAAAACATCTTTTAGTATCATGATACTATATTTTTGCCAAATCACCTGCCTTTACCTCCAGTCCCTCAATTACAAGCATGCTCTCTCTTTACAGCTGCTATTTTATCAATGAGACTATAAATAGCTTGTCTGCCAAATCCCTCCAGGCTTGTGTCCTGTTCCCAGTCATTCCTGTGTCTAATCTCCACTCACAATCAGGTCACAGAGCTTCCACCATCACTGGAACCCTTACACCACTCGACTCCACTGCTGGATATTTGAGGAACAGCGGAAGGAGACCTGAGCGAGTTATAAATAACCCCTTAATCTGCTCTAATCTCTAACTAGGAGTTAGGAGACTAATCTCTGAGAGAATGAAACAGGAATGGGAGTTAAAGTTGTATCAGAACTGTTCAGGTGAAGTATGCGTGTGCGTTTTCCTTCACATAATGACCTCAAGTAAGAGCTGGTGCCATTGCAGAGAGCGCCGTGTTTAATATTGCAATACTTACGTAGAACTCCACGTTACAGGAATCACCCTGGTTCCCAGAAGCAGGCGTGAACCGCCAGACCGTCTCGAGGTGACTGAACAGCGATCCGTCTGTGCACACGGCCTGAAACACACCCACTCTGTCAGACTCAGCCCCCGACAAAAGGCAGCAGACAGCAGACTAGGCCAAAAGACGGGATTGGGTCCAACCTTGGATCACATTTTATGGCCTAGTGTAGACCTTGACCTTGAGGTTACACTTATCCTATGCTGCTCGGACACTGTGATGAATTAACTCAGTCAAACCTGTCTACACTAACATCCTGTATCTTTCCTAATGCCACTTTACTCAGCCTTACGTTAGATCAGGCTATACTGATCACAGTGATGTGTCCTGTAGAGATGGCACCAATCCACTACTATGTGTCAGCAGAAAATATCAGAGGGAAAAGGGAATTTATTCAATCTAATCTTGTAATTAATCTATCCTGAAACAGCACATACTGTGTCACTGATGTCATGGTGTTAGCTATTTTAAAACTAATTGATTTTCTGTCACTAATCAAGTTTGCACTATTGCTATCAGTACTGAAAAAGAAAAAACAGTACTGTGCCTTCTCTAGTCTTCTGATACGGCCACTTTCCTTACCAGTGCACTCATTTAAAGGCCAAATCATAGCAAAATGCTAATCTCAACCAAGAACTGTCCCTATGGGGAGGATCTGTGATGAAGTTCTAAGGAAATAAATTGATAAAAAGGCTCTCGCTATCACTTATATTAGTAACTGAGGAATCTGCTGATTGTTTTGAAGATTAATAAAATATTTTGTTTTATAAAGGCCAAAGAATAAAAGTGAAATGACCTGAACAATAAGAAACCATGCACAGTCTTTAAAAATGTCAAAAATTTAGATGCCCTTAAAAAGACTTAAATACTAACACTTTACTGATGGGCAGCGTTCATAAGGCTACATGACAGAGCGTTTAATGACAGCTGACATAAACCTATACAGACATTTATAAAGGCTTAATTCCACAATCGTCAGTCATAATACATTTTCATAATTTCATAATTCTTGCTAAGATGAAATTACATGAGGAGCATCCTTTATGACAACTAACACTTGTTGGAATAAGCCTTTATAAATGTTTATGTAGGTTGTATGATAGTCTTAACAAAGGCCTTATATATATGTATATATCGCTGTTGTCGGAACAAACAACATTTTTGTTGTTTTTCAGTTTTTGACATAATTTGGAAATGCCTGTTGTTCTTTATGTTGTGTGTAAATTTCATGATGAATGGACCAAAAGAAACAGAATGACTTGAAAAAAGTCTGGTTCCACTGACTTACATTAAAAGTAAAGTATGTTATTCCTTCTCCTGTGAAGTTACCATTTTGGAGATACAAGGTTTTGTTCAGACAACAGCGTCTTTGTGACAGCCCTAATATCCCAAGCTAGGTCAAATTTCTTTCTGGCTCAGGATGAGTATCATGGTAATGGGACTTACTCTGACTTGGTGGTTGGGGATGACGGTAACCTCGGAGACATAGCGTTCAACAATGGGGGGGAATCCGATTTCCAGCTGTGCCTGCACATCTCCGTTCCGCCCCTTCATGACCTTTGACTTCTTGCACCATGGCACAAACTGCTGGTAGTGCTCCACGTTGGCTACTATGTTGTATATTTGCTCCGCTGAGTAACTGTAAGCAAATATTGAGATGATTTTCTGACCCATATAAAAATACGGGTAACATACAGTATCAACACTAACAAAATGGTTTATAATGACATTTTGTAAAGAAAAAGATATGTTTCATTTGCCTAAAACTGAATGAGCAAACCCGTTTCTTTTTGGTTAAGGTTAGGTTTAGGGTTCGGCTTTGGGAAAGCGACTGTCCACTCACCCAATAGTCCGGTTCTCGGAGTACTCCATTCTCCGTGCTACAAGGGGGGCAGCCAGGTTAATAAAGTTCCGAGTGGGCACAGCCTGTGATGTCACAGGTGGGAGGGGCAAGCTGGCATGCTGTGTTGCTAAGATACCACAAGAGCTCAAATGTCTGGCAGAGAAACAGTAGAAGAGAAAGAGAGCAAGTAAGTACAGTGTGGTAGTCAACAGTGGCTGATTCTTGGGCTTCACAATAGGGTTAAAGACTTTTGGCTGTAGAACAATATATACAGCATATACAGCAGACCTACAATAAGCAATAGCACTGTCAGATGAACTGGTTTTAAAATCTAGTATGAACTGGTTAATGTGAATATAAATGAGTTCTTCTGGGATAGGGATATACGTGCAAAAACAGGTGAAAAGCATTTAACATTTTATTTTAATATAAAATTATGCCATGACTAAAAACATCAGGTGAGATATAAGACCAAACAGCATGTTTACTGTTATAATAGCACATTCTCGTGAAGAAGGGACGTACTGACAGACCATCACTTCTGTGAAATCACACACCAGTCTGAAAAGCACCTAAGCACCTGCTCTACACAGGCAGTAAAAGCAAACATCCTGAGCCTTATTCAGGTGCCGTGATGTGGTGCTCGACAATCCAAAAATCTTCCGTTTCTACTGACTAACATAACAGCATATATATAGAATGAGAGATAGACCGGAAAATTCTAGTATGGTTTGAAAAATGTTTCTTGTGGAGGATCTTTTATCTGCTATACAAGCAAAGCGCTTCTGAAGCTGCGCAAGGTCAACCAGTAGATAATCACATTAACCAGTTCATATTCATTATTCAGTTCATTATTATTGAGTTGCTACTGAAAATAACCAATTTATATTCACATTAACCAGCTGATATTAACCCTTTCATGTCCAACTACATACAGTATTATGCTAAAAAATTCCCAGAGAACTTCTTCTGATTGGTCTAAAATGTTCTTAGATTCACATCTAACAGTGTCCGTTTCAATTGCTTTGACTACATAAAATGGTCAAACTCTTATTCACAGTCAAATTTGGATTTTATATTGTTTTTGTTTAAAAATCAGAAGTTTCATGTGACAAAAAAAAGACTGAATTTATGCATGTGGTTCGATCAAATTTGTGGTCAGATTAGCTCACAGAACATATGCACCAAAGGAAGTAAAATAAAATCAAATATAGACATTAATAAGTTAAAAATTCAGTTCAATTCAAACAGTTCTTTCTGTCTCTCTCTCTCTCTCTCTCTCTCTCTCTTTCTCTCTCCCTATCTCTCTCTCTCTCTTCACTAATAACACTGGCGTCTCGTGACTTCACATTCCTGTGAAAGTTTTCTCTCTCTCTCTCTCTCTCTCTCTCTCTCTCTCTCACAGCTGCCCCCTCACAATACAGTACGTTTACGTTTAATATGTTTAAGAAGCATAACAACCATAACTGTAAAGTATAAACTCAGAAGAACCTGAAAACGACTCAAATTTAACCCAAAGTCAAGGTAAATTATTTAAGGTCATTTCAGAGCAAAATGTGGCTTTTTATTAGTTTCTGTTTTTTACAATTACCGCTATTTTTGACCGATTTTAGTCTTTCTAGGACAGGTGTGAGGAAGACATCAGCTCTTCTTACCTGATGGTGCTTTTGCTGGAATTTCTCCTCAGCACGTTGTACGACTGAGTCTCTGTCATCTCCACCAGAGCTCGGAGGAGGAACGGGGTGGTCTTCGTCGCCATTAATTCAGCTGTAGTGATTTTATAGCTGCGAACAGGTTTCCTACACGCGTGGTTCCCTAGCCGCTCCTTTATTTCCTCACAGCCGGCTCCAAGTGGTGAAGGCTGTGGAGAGTGCCGGATGCCTAAGCGATATTTTCCCACCTGTTTTCCGACAAGCCCCACCCCCTTCACTACGATTGGCTATACATTTTTTATATATATATATATATATATATATATATATATATATATATATATATATATATACACGTATTTGACAGTTGGAGGTATTTCATTAATGAAATCACTGTTAATATTACTGACAACTGCCAACAACACTATTATCAACGTGTTATTTATTAGAATTTGAGCTATTTGGGTAGAAATTTTAATAAAAACTGGTTAACATGTTTGCGAACTGATTTATCTGGATATCATCTGTTTAAGGCGAAGGTTTTAAAATACACTGGTTGATGTGAATACAAACCGGTTGACTTGCATATTATCCGGTTCTCTCCTGCAGCTTCTTTTAGTCTAAAAATTTACCGAATTTCTCCTAAACTTCTAAAGGTCTACTAAAATCTATGTTCCTGTGTTATGTCATTATCCTAGATAAGCTTTTTGAATGTAAGGTTTTCAGTTTGGGCCGGACTACTGAACTGCTAGCCAATCCCAGCATTGGAAGGGCGGGGCTTACCTGAATACGGGTGGGAAGTATATCGTGTTGCCTAATACGGGCGGCACTTCACGCTGTGACGTTTCACTTCGGGGGGGAGTTTGGGATTAGATGGAAAAGTTTCTGGAATTTACAGTCTTTACTCGGTATTAACATCTTCACGTCACTCTGACTTTAATACAGACCTGAACGCTCAAAGAAGCCTTTGCAAGATTAAATGGTTCTTTGCATTGTGAAAGGGTTCTTCATATTGATGGAGAACGTATTGTGGATCTTCATTAAATGGTTCTATATAGCAACAAATAGGGTTCTGCTGTTGTTACGATGTCAAGGATGTCAAAGAACCCTTTTTGTTGCTATACAGAACCCTTTTCAAAAAGGTGCGTTATAGAACCATTTAATCATGCAAAGTGTTCTTTGAGTGTTTTCATGTTTTTTATAGAACCATTTCCTTTTCTAAAGATCCATTGAAGAACCATCTTTTTTAAGTGTGTAGATATTCACAGCAAGTGTTACAGAGGAAACTACTGATAACGTATCTAGAGTCAGTGGTACTTTATCAGTTAAGATCTGTGGTGAGAGATCTACCTGCAAACATATCAGAGTTTCAGAGCAAACAGAGAAAGCAATGCAGAATTATTTTACAGCAGATATTTGTCATTTATATTCAGAAATTAAATATGAAAATATGATATCATATTAATATGGTTGTAGTTAAAGGGGAATTTGACCAATTATTCAAAATTCAAAGTTCTATGTAATTAAATGAATTCAGAGTAGTTTGAAATATTCCGTTCTACAGAAACAAATGTGCACAGTGGTGGTGATAGCAGACGTCTGAAGAGTTTAATGTCTCTAAAAGCTCCCTCACAGAAAGTTATTACATAAAATGGCTATGAATACACTGCTTGATCCCTGAGAAGTTGTTTTACAATAGTTATGGCCTAAAACGTATAGTTTTTAAATCCATTCATGACGGAGGGATACACGCAAGGCAAAATAGTAAAAAAAAAAATTTCAGATTTACCACAATTACCAACATTAGACATAAAAACTCAGAAGAACACAGATTTGCTTGTGGCTTTGAATAGTAAATAAAATAGATTTATAATGTGAGACGTTGTAGACGTTGAGACCCCTGGCTCCTATCACCACCGTGTTAAAGAATTTTGAAATCCTGTAAGTTCCTGTACAACACACCATTTTACATCAAAACCTCACAGTGACTTTGTTTATGTCTCAGACTGAATTATGCAGAAAATTTGAAATATTTTTGTAGTTCATTTATTCAAATCCCTTTATTTGGTCAGTACATTCATTCATTCTAATGTAATGTAATACTTTACATTACTGTGTAAATCAGGAATTTTGCTGTATTAGCACAGTTGGCCAGGAACCAATCAGTCAATCAATCAATCAGTCAATCAAGCATTAGAATGCAGAGTTTACATATGGAGTGCATCACAAACACACATAATTTACACACACGTTTTTCTGTGGACATTCTTGTTAATTGAATGAAATAACTGTGTTATACACTATAAAACAAAATATATTCACTGTCAGAGTACTGTAAAATTTAATGGTCAATACCCGTTTTTGAAAAAAGGGTTAAATGTATGTATTTAAACATATACATATATACTGTACTTCAACACTGCTGTTAATTCACAGAAATGTAATGCAAATTTACAAAAACGAATTATCACTCTTATTTCACAGACATTTGTGTTTATTTTAATGGTTGTTAATGTTATTATTATGGTAAAATACTGTAAATCAGTATACCTATAGTAGAATTAGTGAAAGTGTTGAATTACAGGAAAAAGGCAGTATTTCTAAGAAATAAAATGACTGTAATTTTACAGATTTACCATCATTGAGAAAACACACCTCTACTGTTAATAATGGGTTTTATCTGACTCTCCTGCTGCTGGACTTTTTCCAGCTGATTTTACAGTGTAGCTTTAAGTTTCTGACTGTGACTTTAAGTGTGTCCTATTGATCATATGATAGTGCTCTGGGTGAATGTAGGACAGAAAACATTCAGAGTGATCAGGGTTACTCAAAAGACTCCACTTCACCTCAGTAGGCCTTTCAGCGTGTTCCTCTAGGTGTGCACTTTGCGCTAATCATATGCATGCAAATCGCGTGATTCAGACGCACTTTGGACTCTCCACTCTCACACAGTTAATTTAATGTTAAAGTGTGTGGGTGTGTGTGTTTCTGTGTGTGCACTCATTTTTCTACATTTTCAGGACAAAAATATCCTGACATTGTAGGACCAGGAAAAAACCCCCAGAAAAAACAAGGCTGACCTTTTCCCTGAAAACGGTTCTTCAAGGGTTCTGTAGTACAGGCAATGGTTATATATAGAACTGACACAACTTAAAGAACTGTTTGAATGCATAAAAGGTTCTTTGTATGGTTTAATGGTTCTTCTCTATGATGCTGTTATATATAGTTCTGTAAAGAGCCATTAAAATGGTCTAACACAGCACCAAATAGGGTTCCACTATTGTTATAAACCATTGCATATTTTTTTTGGTACTATTTAGAACGCTTTTGCTAAGAGTGTACAGGACCAACAGCATGGTACTGACTTTGCATGGAATAAATGCCCTTTACATTACCTTATACTCCTAAAGAAGATGGTTCTTCAAGGGCTCTTTAGTAAAAATATGGTTCTGCTTAGAACCATAAACACTCAAAGAACCCTTTGTAACAAGCTTGACATCATAACAATAGAAGAACGTTTTTTGGTGCTGTACAGAACCCTTTTCAAAAAAGGTTCTATGTAGAACAATCTGCAGCACATTCTCCATCAATCTGAAGAACCTTTTCATTATGCAAAGAACCCTTTAATCATGCCAAGGATTCTTTGAGTGTTCATGATTCTATATAGAACCATTTTCCTTACTAAAGAACCATTGAAGAACCATCTTTTTAAGTATGTATATAATAGCATATGATAACTATACATGATTTCACATAACATTGCATAAAAAACCAGTATGTGTTCCTATGTGTGTTATAAAAGGTTGATTTGACCTGTGTGTGTGATAATATGGTCAATGTCCTGCCATTGAACTACACTGTTGCCTATTATAGCTTTTTGGGATTGGTTACCTGCAAGGTCACTTTATGGCCTAAGTACATTTGGCACTTAGTGCATTGACCATTTTATGATGGTGTTCAGCTCTGAACTGATAGTCAGGCCAGCCCAGCTCTAATCCACATAGTCCAGCACATCAGGCATGCAAACAAAGGCCACATTAACAGTGTGAAAATGGAAATAAATGACTAATGACACAGCTGGGACTGCGTCTGATAATTGTCATATAAATGTCATAAAATGTAATTATCTTGTTAATAGTTTGCTCTTAAAATATAAGTCTAAAGTTGCTGCTTTATTAGCCACCTAAAAAACATTAGTAAAAAACTCATTCTGCCAGCATACATGCTAAAAACGTTAGCATTAGCCACATAGCTAACAAAAAACAAACATTGCTCATGATGTCTCAAAGGATTTATTTTCTTTTACTCTCTTTTTTTTGCTTTCTTTTATTCGCTTATTTACATTTATTCATCTCAACCCAACACACCCAATTCACATTTTGTTTGTTACACCATAATTTGACTGTGGAAAACGACTATAGTCATCTTGAATAATTGTGATAATCTCAAATAATTGCAATACACCGATTATGTAATAATTGTGACAGCCCTAGCAGGGCCTCCAACATGAACTGTGGAATTCGCTACTCTGTACAGCCGTGCTTTTGTAGCTGCACCCTCAGCAAGTTAATTAGTTAATAAACTGTAATCTTTGATTCTAATGATCATGATCCTGTGTGCTGATGATGGGCTCTTTAGATACAGGCTAAAGTTGGTTATGTGGTTCTCAGGCCAACACCAGTCACCTCGATCAAACCTCTTTTACTCAGCAGGGCCTAATTAGGGCACCTAACCAATCCTGGATTGCACAGGTACTACCAGCTAATCCAATCACATACGTAACTGTTACCACAGGCCAGGAGTAACGTACGGCACAGCTGAACACGTGAATGTGAAACAGACATACAGAGAAGAACATTTCAATCACTGCAAAAAGCATTTAAATCTGTACATAATTTCAACATTAATAAAATGTATTATATTGATACTGTTTTGTCAGTCAGCTCATGTTCTGTTGGCAATGATTGTGTTGATGTAATATTTTTAATTCATGTGGAAATGATGCACACATCTGCAATCATTTTGCAGGTGGCTACAGAATCATTATTACTGTTCTAGACTGTTTAAGTAACAACGGAACAATGAAAATCATTGAAACTCAGCAAACTGTTACTATAACGTTCAAATATCTTCTCATCCAACATTACTTCTAAAATCAGGGGTGTTAATAAGTAGTTTGTCCCCCTTTGCTGCAGCACCAGCCTCTATTCTTCTGGGAAGGCTTTACACTAGATTTTAGAATATTGCTGTGAGGATTTGATTGCATTCAGCCACACAAGTATTAGTGAAGTCAGGTACTGATGTTGGATGATTAGTTCTGGATCATAAACGCCACTCCAACTCATCCCAAAGGTGTTAGATGGAGCTCCATCACTCCCGAGAAGGCAGTTCCATTCCTCTATAGCTCAGTGCAGGGGGTCTTTATCTGATGCCTGGGCACAGTTGAACTAGTGTCAACAATGGGTGAACCTTAAAGTAGCTTAATTCACTAAAATCCCTTAATTTAATTCCCAGTGAAAATGGCCACTGAGTTAATCAATTTTTAGCAGAAACATATATTTAATAAATTATACAGATTATAATTTGTCCAGTATTTAGTGTATTAAATCTGCACTGATATTTGTTTATTCCTCCAAAGTTCCATCTCAGAAGTTGGTTGCATTTTTCTGTTTCTCACGATCTGAGTAATCCCAAACACATTCAGTGATGTTCTGGACTCTGGGGTGGTCAGTCCACTGTTCTGAAAACACCAGCAGCTTCTGTGCTTGATTTGCAATATTTCATTTTCTCAGTAAGAGCTTCTTGACAGCTACACATCCTTTGAGACTCATAGTGCTGAGTTGTCTTCTCACAGTAGAAGGATGGACAGAAACACCTGTGGATGTTTTCAGATCTGAGGCAGCTTGATTTTCTCCTCTCTCTCAAAGATGAAAGCTTCAAGTGCTGTTTATCTGATGGGGACAGTCTTGTTGGTCTACCAGGTCTTTCACGGTTGTTCGGAGTGGAACCTTGGAACCTTCTGTTTTTCAATTATTTTCCTCTGAACTTTTCTCTTCCTTCTGCTAGTGGATTATATTTAATCTCCTCAGAAATATCTTCTGAAAGCTTGTACTTAATTGCTAATGGACTGAAAGTTAAGTAAAGGTCTCTGACGTTTGCACAGTACTGTATAGTGTATGATGACAAGTTTTTTTTCCTGTGTCTACTATCAGCTTAGCAGCGCCACCTGCTGCTCCATCATTTGGCCTCAGCGACTGTTTTCCAAACTGTTCACTAAAGTGTAAGTTAAAATTTGTACTGTTGTCATTCATTTTATTTACTTATCATTTTACCTTATTTTATTTTTTTTAGTTTTTTTCTGTTCCTATTTTGCTTTTATTTTGTTTTTATTATTTGGAACATTCTCCATTTGGAATGGGAATTCAGGTGGATACCATTTTTAAAAAATCAGTTTCTTTTATCTGACAACTAATTAATAATCTTAATGTGTCCATTAGCATCTCCTATTACCATATATGCAAAAAAGGAGAGCTTAATTACAAAGATATTTTACAGTCACTGGTGTTATATGAATATAGTGTAACACCAGTGGCATTCTGGTTAAAAACTGAGGATTTTGTAAATTGGCTGACTCATTGGTGGTCAGGTGACCTTGTATTAAAATTACTAATAAAAATGATATCTGGCATTATTTTGACAACATTTTAATTACCCATCCATTAAATCCTATAGCACTGGTGACACACAGAAGTTATGTGCTGCCTGATGAACAACATTATTAATAAATTAATTAAATATAGTGAGCAAGTGTGACTCGCCTTCTCGCGCCTTGAAACACTTCCTCTCTGATTAGCCTCGACTCAAAGAGGCAGCTTAATAGAGTTAAAATTACTACGAGTCCTGATAACACCAGTGACCAAAATATCTGTGACAAAGGTATTTTTTAATGAAAATACATAATTTTTTTAATGTAGTATAACGTCAATGATATAAAAAGTACATATGAATCTGTTTTATACAAATTCCTAAGTTAAACCCCTGAAAAATATTGTTTTATATTAAAAATAGTTTTTCAAATGTTGAAAATTGGTTATGTGACAAGTCGTTTTCCATATGCAGAGCGACTATGAAGCAGAATAAAAAAAGAAAAATCAGAGAAAACATTAGAGAAAAGTATTATTTAATCTTGTAAATCAACTGTGGAAATGTCTATACTGACTCTTGGAGCTGTGTCTAATATTTTAAGCATCTTTTTAAGCCCTGCAACCTTTGTGACACGGTTTTCCGCTCCAAATGGAAAATGACCCATTTAACTCTACTCTTCAGTTGTAAAGCACTTTGAGCTGCTTTGTGTATGAAAGGTGCTCTACAGATAAAATTAGTATTATAGCTTAACATGACCAGTTAGTAATTTCAAATACTATTTCTACTGCCAGTCTAAATTAGAAGGACATGTTGTGAACATGTGATTTATGATTTCATCTTGGTCAGACCTTGAACTGAGGTCAGTTTCAGAACATTTTCTACTCTCAGACCACATTGTTCTTGCACCAAACTCTAGCCAAAGCAAAGCCACTAACAATAACCAGACAAGCGGGTTATTAAACAAACTGTGTGCAATGGAAGGAGAGTAGGAGGCCTTGTTCAAGTCGGCTGCCTCGTGTCTGGACATGATCAACAAAGCAATCAAACTGCCAAGGTTAGAAAGACAGACCTCACTGAGCGACCACATGGAGTGTTTATAGAAGAGAGAGAAAGAAGGAGGGACAGGAACTTCAGTGTTTCTCTTTTCTCCTCTCTGGCAGACTCAGAAGAGGTAGGAGATGTAAATAACCTTCCACTGTACTGACAGAGTCCACTAACTGTTTCCTTTCTTCATTTTTTATTTCAGTTTCAAAACTTCTACACCAGACTGTGAAACTAAAGTCTCATTCAGCTATTACCAATTATTACATATAAAAACCCAGAAGACGTATGCGGGTTCACTGACAGATATGGATAATGAATAAAATGGATATATAGCGCTGTAGATGTATAAGCACTGTAGACATTGAGACCCCTGGCTCCTATCACCACCATTTTAAAGAAATTAGAAATACCATACATTCCTCTACAACACAATTTTACATCAAATCCCTCTCAATGACTTTGTTGATGTCTCTGTGACTGAATTATGCAGAAATTGTAAATAATCTGTGTTCATTCATATCCATTTATTTGGCCAGTTCATTCATTTATTCATTTATTCCAAAATGTATAGTACTGTATAAATCAGGATTTGTGCTGTATTAGCACAATAGTAAGTTAATATATGGAGTGCATCATAAACACATATTTCCAAGTTTTAGTGTGGATATTATTGTATTTCTAAGAAATTAAATGACTATAATTTTGAAGATTTTTACCATTATTGAGAAAACATCCTTTTTTTACATCGATCATACTGATAGTGATTTTTACAGTGATCATATAGTTATCAATTATGTTACATCACACATATGTAAAAGTTATAATGGGGTAGGCAGTTATGTGCATCAATAAAGTGGCTTAACTGTTCGCACAGTACTGTGGTGTGTTTTATTTCAGTGTATCTGCATTCTCCACTGAGAAGATTAGCTTGCTCATGGCTCTGATGTACTGGGAGCCGTCGAGTGCCATGAGTTTGAGACTGCTCAGAGGCAGCAGTGCACTGTTAGTGTAGTACCTGAAGAGTGGACAAGGTGACTGGATCACCTCCAGGAAGACCTGAGTGGAAGACAGACAGGCTAATTTTACATCAATCAGCAAAGCTATGAAAAAAAAAAACAACAACAGTGAAAATCACATTCAGAATAAAGTTCCAGACCAACTCCCCAAAGGCCTGGCAGATTATATGGACTTCCATTAAAATAAATTATGCTTCAAGTTTAGAAGTTTGCCCAATTCAGGTATTAAACCCCTCTTACATGCTGAGTTTAAAGGGGAAGTCCACTAATTCTTTTTATTTCAGCATAATTCAATCATTGAGATATAAATCCTTTACACCATTTTGATGTAATGTGGTTAATTGCAGAGAAACTTATCAACACCAACTTTGCAATGGTGGTGATAGGAACCAGGGGTCCCTATGTCTGTAGCACAAATTTATTTTCTTTAGATATATTCTATATATAATATTTTTTACGATTTTTAGAATGTTAATGGTAAAAAGTGGCACAGCTGAAAAACTCTTTTTTTGCCATTAAAGGATTAAAACAGTAAGTTTTTTAGGTAAAAACTTTATCATTAAACTATTATAAAACAACATTCCAGTTACTTAAATTATGTGGACATTATTCAAAATGTCCGCATAATTAAACCACTAAGTTGTAAACAAAGTGATTCGGAGTGGTTTGGTGTGAAATGCTCCGATCTAGAGAAACTTAGCGAGTCAGAATTGGTCACAGTGGTGGTGAATGGAACCAGACATCTAAAGTGTTTGAGGCTTCTAAAAGCTCCCTCACAGAAAGCTCTTCCACAAGACAGTTACAAATATGCTGCCTGATGCCCGAGACTTGGTTTTGCGATAGCTTTAAAACAATTTTTAAAAGCTATTCATGGTGGAGAGGTACATGCAGAGAGTTGTAAGGCAAAATATTCCCCAAAGAAAGCGAAGTTTTTCAGTTTACAGTTATAAAAAAGAAGAAGCCAAATTATGATGATCAATTATCAACGTTACATATAAAAACATAGAAGGCAGGTGTCTCTGGTTTACCGATCATTTTAAATAGCTAACATAGATGTATTTGCGTTGTAGACTCCGTGGCCCCTGTTTCATATCATCACCTTTGTGAAGAAATCTGAGCTGGTAAGTTTCTCTACAGTTTCTCTACAATGCACCACTTCACACCTCAAACTCTGAATGACTTTTACATGTGACTGAATTATGCAGAATGTTATCTAACTGTGCTACAGTTGCCTCCACAATGTTCTGATGACCAGTTGTTATATTGTCTATTATAGGGCTGAATGATTTGGGAAAAATATCTAATTGCGATTTTTCTGACTAATATTGCGACTGCGATTTAAATTGAGACCAGAAATACCAAAATATCCACTTCTTCTGGTTTGTGTCTTGACCCTTTAAGGTAGTGTGCCAGAAAGGCAGTAAGTTGTGGTTGTGATGTCACAACACTTTGAGGTTTAGTTGCCTCTGATTGGTCTAACTCTACCGACAGCATACAACTTTGTGTTATTAGGTTTAATTTCCCCACATTTTTATAATGTAGTCTACAATTTTTAAAAATTGCAGCTCTTGCGATTTTAAAATTGCACTCTCTTAAATTGTGATTTTGATATGAAACAATTAATCTTTCAGTTCTATTTTAGTCCATCAATTCTTACAAGTTATATAATCTTTTTTGGGTACTACATGGAACCCTTGTTGAACATATGAACATCTGTGCTCACCTGGACGATGTCGTCAGTGTCCTGCGCTGCGTTCTGGAACATTTTCTGGCAGTGCTGCAGATACATCTCATACAGTCTGCGCGTATCTGTGTCCACCTCCACTGACTCGTCACTCAGCTCTGTCTTGGTCAGGTTCCTCAGGAAGTTTGTGTTGACGGGTCCACACTCTATCAGACTCACACTGCATTGTGGGGAAAGAAGCAAGTGTTTTTGAACACAGTAATGTTTAGTTGTGACTGAATTCTGTTCTAGTTTAACACATTAAACTGTGTTTATCATTCAGTTAACATTCAGACTTTTTCAGTATTACTCAGTAACTATTATATAATATGTAAGGGAGGCCTACGTAGTTATGGATAATTAACATGGGGGGCCACACATGGCCCTTAGGGGTTATGAAGTCAAAGAAGAGCATCTTTGAAACCACCATACACAGAGACAGAGAAAAACAGATCTCACTGGATGTTGAAGTGTTGTAGCAGGATGGCCAGGCTCTCACAGACACCCTCTACTGCGAACTTGCTGGCACAGTACACCTCATTAAAGGGCAAACCTGAGATACAGAGACACACATTAAACTTTTTCTGGTGCAAACTTACTCCTAATATGACTTCTGGCACCTACAATCTATGTTTCCTAATCCTGGTCCAGTCAGGGGGGATCCCTGATGCCATCTTAAGCACCTTTACTTTATTAGTTCACGCAAACTTTGTTAGATAGGATCATGGAGAGGCAAGGATTTAAGTGAAAACAAGTGTGAACTGCAGCAGAAGAACTTGCCACCTGACACATTTTCCTTTCCAAACACCAAACAAATGGCAGACAAAGCTGTTTATAAGCCTTGCATAGGAAGTACTTACTTATTAAGTTTTTTAAGTGCATAACATATCAAAACATAAGAAATATGAAAACAATCCAGATTTTCTTAAAAAAATCTGTATTTCTCTGCATTTCTTATTTTTAAGGATTATAAATATATGCAGTGAAAAAAACATTTTTATGAACAACAAAGTTTCTGTCTTAAAATTCCTTGTAAGTGTATTTATTTTTATGGAACGTTTCTGAGAGTCTGGCTCCTGGACTGGAAACTTTTTTCCTTTGTCCACCACCTTATCAGCGCCCCCTGCTGTTCCACAAGCCACATCTTTACTGAAGTGAAAGGCTAAACTCAGGGCCTTTTTCACTTTCTTATTCCGTCTGTCTTCTCTGTCTACTTTACTCATTTTACATACTGATCTTTGAAAGCATTGTAACAGTGACAACAATGACAATAACAACATGAACAACCACTTATAATAACAATTTATCAAATAATAACAATATTAACAACAACATTGTTGACTATATTAAAAGAAAAACATTGTGTCATTTATTGTATAATTATTAATCCTACAAAATCAGAAACTTTTTTTAATACATATGTGTAGTGTTGGGGTATGTGAGGTGGGGGTCAGAAGGGTGGGGGAATGTGGGGTGGTGGTCAGAAGGGTGGGGATATAGAGAGGGTGGAGGTAACTAGGGTCTGAAAGGGGGGTGTTACCCTCTCTCTCTCTTTCTCTCTCTCTCTCTCTCTCTCTCTCTGTTTCTCTCCTCTGTTTACCTTGCAGTCCGCCCATGCTGCCGGTGACCAGGATTCGTCCGTGTTTCCTCTTCTTCATGTCAGGTAAGAAGGTTTGAATGGTGCGGATGGTGCCCAGCAGGTTTACCTCCAGGATTCCTCGCATGGTGTCCTCAGACTGAGCCTCTAGAGGGCCCATTAAACCTACACCTGCATTACACACTAACAGACAGTGAGAGAAAGAGACAGAGAGAGAGAGACACTTTTTTTTTTACAATGTTAAGGGCAGCTGGCATTTTCCACTTAGGAACAAGATGTTATATAAGATGCAGGGATTTATTACAATTATTTTTTTAACACAGTGATCTTTTATTACTAATCCCACTGCAACAGAGATTAGTATGAAATCTCTTACCCAGTATGTCCACTCTGCCTTCTGTAATGCTGCCTTGGGCGGTAAGTATGGATTGTTGGTCAGTGATGTCCATCTGCAGAATGGCCATGGTGTCTTTATGCAGCCCAGTCACGCTCTCCAACAAGTGCTGCTTCTTATCCAGATTACGCATGGTGGCATACACTATAACATACAGTTAGACCTGTTTATCAGTCAAAGCACATTATTAAAAAAAAACATCCCCGTTTCACTATAAAATTTCAACATACGTTCGCTGCAGTTCAAAGATTGGAATGGACTTAAAATTGAAGCTGTGTGAAGAGCTGGTAGATGGTTCTCCAGTGAATGAGACAGCTAAATAAAACTGTCAATAAATTTATAGTAAAATTGTTTTCTATTATGCCTCATTTTTGGAAAGAGGAGATAAAACTTCAAGGCAGATAACTTGACCAGAAATGACTATACATGGATAATTACTGTAATTATTTACTGGCGAATGACTTTTTGATGTTCCCAAAAAACTTGAAATATTGAATAAAACAGCTTTTAAATGTAGGCTTACAACAACAATCAGTCCAAACTTTTAAATGATACCATATGGCAGCACTGAGAGTTACTGCAGCATTTACCTTTGTATGCCTTAGATGGGTCTGATGCGAGGTGGACGGCCAGGCTGAGCCCGATCCCCGAGGAGCAGCCAGTAATGAGAACCACTTTCTGCTCCATCATAAACACAGCAGTGCTGCAGTGTGGAGGAGAGAAATGAGAGCAGGTCAGAGGAGGAGAGCAGGAGTGCTGGTATTGTTCTGGAAGGACTGCACAGGGGGAGGTGAGATGCTGTTCTGAGCTGATCTTTGTTGTGTCTTGTAGTTCCAGGCATTAGCGTTCCTCACTATCACAAGGCCAACTGAATGCAAACAATCTCTACTTCCCACTGAACTGCCTGGTCCAACAGGTGCACTAAGACCATGTATGCATACACACACTAAAAAAAAATCATGCATACATTTCCTCACACACTTTACATTGTCATAGTAATAATCATGTCAATTGTATTCAGGTTCTTAATGACAAACTGTCAATCATACAGTTTCTTTTTCTGGGAAGGAAACAAGTAAAAACCTTTGTGGAGTTAAAAGGGAATTTCACCAGTTTTTTGTAGAGAAACTTACCAATTCAGATTTCTTTACAGTGGTGGTGATAGGAACCAGGGGTCTTAATGTCTACAATGCAAATATTTGGGGCCTATTTTGCCTTATAACTCCCTGCATGTCCCTGTTTGTCTTGAATGGTTTTAAAAAAATGTTTTATGCCCAAAACTATTGTAAAACAACGTATCTGACATTGGGCAACATTTCAAAACCATTTCAGGTAATAACTTTTTGTGTGGGAGGTGTTAGAGGTATTAAACTCGGATGTCTGGTTCCTATCACCACCACTGTGATTCTGTATGTTTCTCTAGAATGGAGCATTTCACAGCAAACCCCTCTGAATGATTTTGTTTACATCTCAAACATATAATTACGTAGAAATGCTGAAAGATCAGTGGAGTTCCCCTTTAACATTATGCAAATTAGTTACCTTTTACTGTGGTCCTGTTTCCTGTAGTCCAGTCTGTAGCTCATACACTGTCAGAAATAAAGGTTCTGTGCAGGTACATTTTTCGTTCATCAAAGTACAAACAACATAAAATTCATACTACAGTGATTTTAGGGTCCAATTGTGTACATATTTGTACATTTTCATAATCTAATGTTTTAAAACAGAACAATAAAGTAAAAAGCCTGGAGGCGAGGCGGGGTGTGTGGAGTCAGTACAACTTAGAAAATATCATCTCAATGGATTATGGTACAATTATGCTCCCTGACTAAAGGTACTGAGAGGCACCTTTGAGGGTACCACCCCAGTGACAGTTTACTACCTCTATTTCTGAGAGTGTAGTCAAATAGCTGGCACCACCTCACAATGGGACACCCTTACAAAATGTTTATGAATGATTTAAAATTAGTTTATTAGTTTTTAATTAGGTCATCAATACTGTATACATCATTAAACAGCTATAAAACATAAATAAAAAGGGCACAGTGAGCTGTTATATCTGACCAATATGAATATCTGATGGAGCTGACAGGTTTAACGCTGACTGATTTCTGAAGTGTTTGTAACCTAACTAAAAACATTAATGCATACATTTTAAACCACTCATAAACATTTTTAGGGTAGTCTTATGATGGTAAACCTAAATAGTAGTAGTAGAATATGCACCGCACATTAAATATGAAAAATATAGTGTCATTTACTGCACATTTAAATTTATTAATGCAACTACATTAAGGCAGCACATTTCCTTAAATCACTTGAGAAAATAACTGAATCAAAGCAAAAATGACTTCAAAATGTTGATAGTTAAAATATTCCAGTAAGCTTAATGTTTTGCAATCTTGTGTCACTTTGCCAATCAAGTATTTGTTTTAAATGTTTTTTCTAACTTTTTATTTCTTACAGAATATTCCTTGCCTTTATTTTAACTAATTATGTGGGTTAACTTGCACGTGCAACAGCCAAAATGTGAAAAGAGTGTGCCTAGTAAAAAAAGCTTCAGGGAGAAAAAAAGAGAAAAAGATGAATTTCTCTCTTCTATTTGGTGGAAATGGGCTTCCATATATTCAGAAGCTTGTTATGCTGGTTAAAAGGGAAAACAGAACTGTGTGGTGCTGTGGCTGTAGATGGCAGATAAACACTGACCTCTACTGTCCAAATCTAGAACTACACCTCCAATATTTCCTGTTTGCCCCTGAACATCTCATATTAGTGAGAGTTGTACCGCAGACATTTGGTTCTGATGTTCATTATTTGAACATACAAAGTTCTTTTCTACTGTTTGTTTAGTTTTATTGCACTTTAAAAATGTTTAAAAAGACCAGTGGTGGAAAATCTGCAGATTTCTGTCTCTTCTCTGCTTTGATGATATTTAAATCAAAGTATCTGAGTTCATCCAGGTTAAAGCAGAGGATACAATTACAAAAAAAAAGAAAAAAGGCAGAGCAGTGAGACTGAGAAATGCTGCTTGGTAGCGATATACTAGGTGTTCCTGTGGGTGTGTGTGAAGCTTGGCACATTTGGTTAGAGAAAAAACTTTATTCACAATAAATATATACAATAAATCATATTTACATTATTACATACAGCAAAGACAATTTCCTTTTCTGTTCCTTGTTTAAATGATCAAAACTTACAAAAGTGCAAATATTGGAAAAGACATTATTGCAGAAATTAACTACACTGATTTTCTTTGTGCTTTGAGGCACAAATGAACAGGATTGACACCAAAACCTTTTCCAGAGGAGTTTCTCACATATAAAAGAAGACTTTGATTATAAGTCCATGTATTGAGGTCCATTATTTAGTCCACCTCTTCAATGGTGGGCCCCTGGGCACTTGCCCCTGAGCTGGATCGTGCCTGAGCTCCACAGCCTCCAGCTGGCATCCCTCCCTGGTACAGCTTAGCGATGATGGGGTTGCAGACTTTCTCCAGTTCCTTCAGCTGATGCTCAAACTCCTCCTTATCAGCCAGCTGGTTGTTCTCCAGCCAGTTAATGGCCTGGTTGCACCTCTCAATGACTTTCTTCTTGTCATCTTCACTGATCTTGTCTTTCATCTTCTCATCTTCCACACTGTTTTTCATGTTGAAGGCGTACGACTCCAGAGAGTTCTTGGCAGCAATCTTCTCTCTCTGGAGGTCGTCCTCTGCTTTGTACTTATCTGCTTCCTGCACCATCCTCTCAATCTCCTCCTTGCTCAGTCTGCCCTTGTCATTGGTGATGGTGATCTTGTTCTCTTTGCCGGTGCTTTTGTCCACCGCTGACACGTTCAGAATGCCGTTGGCGTCAATGTCAAAGGTCACCTCAATCTGAGGAACTCCGCGTGGTGCAGGTGGGATGCCCGTCAGCTCAAACTTGCCCAGCAGGTTGTTGTCTTTCGTCATGGCTCTCTCACCTTCATACACTTGGATCAGAACACCGGGCTGGTTGTCTGCATACGTGCTGAAGACCTGTGTCTGCTTGGTGGGGATGGTGGTGTTGCGTTTGATGAGAGCGGTCATGACTCCTCCTGCGGTCTCAATGCCCAGGGACAGTGGGGCCACATCCAGCAGCAGCAGGTCCTGGACGTTTCCAGAAGTGTCGCCCATGAGGATGGCAGCCTGAACTGCAGCACCATAAGCTACTGCCTCATCTGGGTTGATGCTTTTGTTCAGTTCACGCCCGTTGAAGAAATCCTGCAGCAGTTTCTGGATCTTGGGGATTCTTGTAGAACCTCCAACCAGGACAATGTCATGGATCTGGGACTTGTCCATCTTGGCATCTCTCAGGGCTTTCTCCACTGGCTCTAGCGTTCCCCTGAACAGGTCTGAGCACATCTCCTCAAATCGTGCTCTGGTGATGGAAGTGTAAAAGTCAGTGCCCTCATACAGGGAGTCGATTTCAATGCTGGCCTGAGAGCTGGAGGACAGGGTTCTCTTGGCTCTCTCACAGGCTGTACGAAGCCTCCTCAGAGCCCGCTTGTTCTGGCTGATGTCTTTCTTGTGCTTCCTCTTGAATTCCTCCACAAAGTGGTTCACCAGGCGGTTGTCAAAGTCTTCCCCACCCAGGTGAGTGTCTCCTGCGGTGGCTTTCACCTCAAAGATGCCATCTTCAATGGTCAGGATGGACACGTCGAAGGTTCCACCTCCCAGGTCAAAGATCAGGACGTTGCGCTCTTCCTTCTTGCCTTTGTCCAGGCCATAGGCGATCGCTGCAGCTGTGGGCTCATTGATGATCCTCAGGACGTTCAGACCAGCGATCACTCCAGCATCTTTGGTGGCCTGCCTCTGAGAGTCATTGAAGTAGGCAGGTACAGTAATAACAGCATTTGTTACCTTCTGTCCCAGATAAGCCTCGGCAATCTCCTTCATCTTCACCAGAACCATGGAGGAGATCTCTTCAGGGTAGAAGGTCTTCGTCTCTCCTTTGTACTCAACTCGAACCTTTGGCTTTCCTCCATCACTGGTGACTTGGAAGGGCCAGTGCTTCATGTCAGACTGGACGATAGGATCGTCAAACTTGCGGCCGATCAGCCTCTTGGCGTCGAACACGGTGTTGTTGGGGTTCATGGCTACTTGGTTTTTGGCAGCATCTCCAATGAGCCTCTCTGTGTCTGTGAAGGCCACATAGCTGGGGGTGGTCCTGTTTCCCTGGTCATTGGCAATGATCTCCACTTTTCCATGCTGAAACACTCCTACACAAGAGTAGGTGGTGCCCAGGTCAATGCCGATAGCAACTCCTTCAGCAGAGGACATCTTGATTGTTGTCAGGTGTCTAAAACATTATATACAAAACATTTGCATACATTAGTACAAGGGCATTGTTGAAATATAAGTTCTATAATAATTATATAACAATTCTAGTTATATTCTAGATATAGTGCTCGTTTTCTCCTTGGAAAGTTAATTAAGTGATAAATATAGAACGATACAACTTAGAAAAAATAAAAACATACTGACATCAGAAATTTAAAGCAGAATTATTGTAATAATAACATAAATACGTTTTAAGTAACTATTACAAGTAAGGTGCACAAAATACAGCTTTGCTAATAAGTGCTTTAATCACACTGAGTATTTGACAGCATGTCCTGTGTCTACAGTACAAATTGTAACACAGACAGAAAAAAACGACTTACAATTGATAGGATTCCCAAATATGTGTAGATGAGGTCTTGCTGTCAAAACTGCTACTTTAGTGCTCTTCGTTCCTCCAGTACTCGATGCTCAGTCTCTACTGTCTCCACATCACTGACAGCCGCGCTATTATAGTCAGCAGGTCTGTTCTGCACTTTTCTCGGCGTTTCTCCAAAGCGCCTACGAAACTGGCCAATCAGAAATGAGCTAGCGGAGTCTACCACGCCCACAGTTAACTCACAAGCGCAGGAACGTACCACAGAAATCCCAAAGAGAACAAGAGCACCTTTTCCAGACTATTCATGTTTCTTAGTTTTTTTTTGTTGCTTTTTTTGGCAGAGAGTTTCTCCACTCGTTAAAACGCATCTGGGCAAAATAAGTTATTTGATAAAGATTTTTAAAATCCATTTTTAGGTTTCCATTCATATTATGCAGTTCGTTCCATGAAACCAATGTTGTGTTATTGCTAACTGCTGTTGAAAAACAGACAAGATAATAACACAACTATATACTAATTTGGTTTGTATTTTATTATTAAATCAGGCAAATACCATCTTAACTCCATAAGGTCAATATAAACACGGAACTGTACATCACAGTTGCAATACATTAACCTATGTACATTAATCTATTCCTGTTATTATTTGTTTTGTTGTTTTTTGTTTTTTGTTTTTTTGTGTTAAATAGGCTTGTTCACTAGATCTATTGAGTTCTAGAGTTTCAGAGAAGTGTTTTATCTAAATCTGAACTTCGGCGGTCATCTAAGTACTGGGCTACAGAAACATGTCGAACACTGTAGAAGTGCTCCCCTTTGGTCTTGGTAGAATGGTACGTTCCTGAGTCACTGGTGGGCGTGGACGAGACCGTGAACTCACTTCTGATTGGTCAGTGTCGCAGGAACGTTGG